AACATATATTATATATATATATCAAATTATTAATAATAAATAATAATACATAAATAATAATACTGTATATTATATTAAAATATTTTTTTATGGTCTGAATTTGTTTCCAGACAATGTATTAAAACAATGATTGTAGATTTGTAGTTATGAAGGAAAATGAAAAGTTACTGCCTCCAATCTCCTTCACTAAACACCCATCATATTCTTATATTGCAGTTTACTGGATGAGAAAAACGATCTGTTAAAATTACAAACCCTCATTATGATCAAATTAGGAAGCATTTACAGCAAACGAACAGGTAAACAGCTGTGAAAAAAATAGAGAAAGCCTGAGTGTTTTCACTGGCTGAGGGCTGTGAATGTGCTGGTGAGGATGTGCTGGTGAGGATGTGCTGGTGAGGATGTGCTGGTGAGGATGTGCTGGTGAGGATGTGCTGGTGAGGATGTGCTGGTGAGGATGTGCTGGTGAGGATGTGCTGGTGAGGATGTGCTGGTGAGGATGTGCTGGTGAGGATGTGCTGGTGAGGATGTGCTGGTGAGGATGTGCTGGTGAGGATGTGCTGGTGAGGATGTGCTGGTGAGGATGTGCTGGTGAGGATGTGCTGGTGAGGATGTGCTGGTGAGGATGTGCTGGTGAGGATGTGCTGGTGAGGATGTGCTGGTGAGGATGTGCTGGTGAGGATGTGCTGGTGAGGGTGAGCATGTGCTGGTGAGGATGTGCTGGTGAGGATGTGGTGGTGAGGATGTGCTGGTGAGGATGTGCTGGTGAGGATGTGGTGGTGAGGATGTGCTGGTGAGGATGTGCTGGTGAGGATGTGGTTCTGGTGCCAGGGCGGGTCCAGAGCGCCAGCGACTGCAGCGAGAAACCATGAGAACCAGACCTCAGTCTTCATGCATGCACTGTAAAGCAGGGATGAAATAAAAATCACCTATTTTATAAATGCATGCTATTTATTTATTTATTTTTATTTAGTCATTTATCAGACGCTTTTATCCAAAGCGACTTACAAATGAGGACAACAGAAGCAATCAATTGTAGTATTAAAACAACTAAAAACACATCCAAAACTAAAAGCTAAAACTTTATAAATACTACTTATACACATTTTAAAAATAAAGAGATTAAATAAAAATGACAAATGCATACAACAAAATCTCAAAACTTAACATAAATGAAAAACAAAAAATAAAGCTAAAAACAATTCAAAATAGTAAAGAACAAAAGGTATAAGAGTATAATAACGATTCT